TTTTGATATCACAAAACCAATTTTCCAAACGGTAATCACACAACTATATATCCTTTTGTTTTAGAGGGAACACAATTAGATTAGCCAATTGGCAATTAAATGCATCATGGCTGTGTTTAGTTCAACGCAAAGTTTGGATTTTGGTTGGAATTAAAGATGATGTGACTGAAAAATTGTGTGTGTATGACATGTTGATGTGATGGAAAAGGACTGAAGTTTGGATCTAAACTTTGGATTTAAACACAGCCCATGTAAAGTGACAGAGCCAGAAGTTTCAGAACAGCTGAGGCAACTTACCCAACAACATGCTCTGCATTCTGACTAGTCTCCCCTTCTAGTGCAGTTGCAATCACTTGCCAAAACAAGATCTTAAAAATTATTATGACATTGCCATCCTAACTTAATCTGGGAACTATTTGGTGATCTCAGTGCTGTCCCTACAAGAAAAAAGTACATGGAGTAGTGGAGGGGCCTTGCTCCTTGTTGGAGAAAGAAATCTCACTTGATAGGTTCCTTTTCTAGCTATAAACATAGTTATTAGCGTATTGATAAAGAAGTATAATAGTGTATGTAGCCTAGCTAATTAAACAGTGCTTTCAATGACTTTTCCACAAAAATTTCAGGTGCTGTTGAACTGATAGATACTCTGACCGAAATCACTAACTTGAGATGGCTCCAAGAGAAAAGTGATACATATATATCTTAATTGCTAATATCCTAGGAAAAACACTTAATTGCTAATTTCTAACTATCTTAGATTATGTGTAATACATAATTTTTCAGATAATGTTCTCTATTTCATATATACCTGCTTGATTTGCTACACAGGAGTTTTAAGGAACCTTTAATTTTGGCAGCATCTACCAAGTGTGGGCTTGTCCGAGTCAGCACCAATCAGGTAGCTAGGTTGTTGTTTTCCAGCCCAAAATTAAAATCATTTTCGCCATCTTTTGGGTCCTGGTTACTGGTAGCCAGTAGGCTTGCACTCTGAAATGACACTTGCAAGTAGCATATATCTTTGGCGTTTTTTTGGTTCAAGTGAAGTGAACGATTGGTATTTGGGACCATATACAAGTGGCAAGCACTGCAGTTTGGAATGAACTTTTCAGTAAAATATATGTAGAGAGAGTGATGCAAGTTTGAGCTGCTTGTGGCCAAAATTTACAGAACAATATTGTAAAGGGATGTGATCTAGGTGCAATGCTCAGCAGCAGATGATGCATGGGTGTCAGGGAGCAAAGAACCTGGTTAACTACTACTGATGATTCTGATAAGTATGTGTCGCCAGATCAGCGAAAGCAACATATGGCTCTGTATAATGAAAGGAAAAGGCTTTCAAAGCTTGACGTTTGCTTCAGAATAAAAAAAAATGACTGATGTCATATGCTGCGTAGGATATGATACTAGTGTTACATATAATTAGCATCAGTCCATCAATCAGACCAGGATATCATTGCAGAGTTGAGCGTCCCTCATGATGTGTCAACAGCAAACAATCCCTTCAAGTGTGCATATGCATAGTCCTTTCAAATGATACATTGAGAAAACAGATGAATGTAGAAAATATATATATGGAACTTTGACAGAATTGTAAATACAAAACAGAGAATCGCAAAACGCATAAAAAATACAGAAATAACTATTTGAATAGGTTTCAGGAAAAATGCAAGAAATGAATGAGTGAGATAGATTAAAAAGAATTTTCCAAGAGGTTGAGCCTCTTGCTAACTTTTATTCAAAATCTACTTTTAGTGAGCCATTTTTTAGAAATTTCATAGGATTCAAAAAGCTTCAATCATATATTTCAAATGATTAAATAGGAAAAATTCCTATAGAATTTGAGTCCTACAAAATTTCTCCACGAGTATTTTGTTTCAAAGGGGGCGTCATAATCAGATATTGTGCATTCCTCATGATCAGTACCATACATAATTGATAACAAATCATTATCATGATCATTTGCAGCGACAAAAATCGATAACAATGTTGAATTAAATCACAACCATTGATTTATCTTTGTCGGTAAGAAGGTTTTGCTCCTAGTCACAGGATCCGTCCCTCGACCCGGAAACACTGTCCCTGTCCCGCGAACGCGGATCATTTTCGTTCCCACCTTGTAAAAATCTCTCGTGAGTAGGGTATCACGTTCCTCGATCCTATATCGACCTGAAAACTTTGTGACTATACTTTTTGCTCGCTTGCCTATCTACGACTAAATTAAACCAAATGGAGCAACTTACCTATCTGCACTATGGCCTGGTTTAGTTCCTAACTTTTTCTTCAAACTTCCAACTTTTCCATCACATCAAAACTTTCCTACACACATAAACTTCCATCTTTTCCGTCACATCGTTCCAATTTCAATCAAACTTCTAATTTTAGCGTGAACTAAACACACCCTATATTTGAGCTGCAAGAATGGACAGAAAAGGAGAAAACCACCGTACGTCAGTCTACCCGCAGGAGCCCGGATGGCTGAACCGCCATGACCACGACACGGCAGCTTGCCGACCCGTCAATGCAAGCTGAGGACACACGCACGAACCTCAACTTGGCGCAGCTGCAGTGCTCTTCATGTTTCAGTTCAGGTTCACTGGAATTACACATACAGATACAGTGCCCCTGCCTCTTGACTCTTGTGCAGTGCCAAGAGGCGGCAAGCTGGCTGCTTGTTGGCCAGTCGGATATATCGATCAACCGATCGACCGGCAACTGCAATTTAACGCAGTGGAAAGCTCTGCCGGCGAAAGGGAGGAGGCGGCGGCTAGTGGCAGGCAGGGTCGACGTGCTGCGTACGTACGGGCGCCACCCCTGAAGTGAACGGTCAGGCCGAGAGAGCTCGTGTTGTTGCTGCCGTTTTTGATCTTCAGTAGCCACAACCACATTTGCATGTACTTTGGCTTTTGCTGTAAGCTGGAGAAATTAATGGTACTCTGTCATGTTGGATAGTACAGGGAGAGTGATAATCCAAACAAATCAATCCTATCCTAATATATCTCTGACTACCATATACTCTAATATGTCATGTTTCTTGTAATTATTCGATTCTTTCTGCCATGTGCCAAGTACGCCGGCATCTGTTTCAAAATACTAGTACTATTTTTAGATCTTGAAGTAAAAAAAACAACAAGGGTAGAGGAAAACATTTTCTTTTAGACATTTTAGTGGTCAAAATTTGAACTTTGAATTGCTTGGATTCTCTTCCCAATCATGTTATTGGTTGAAATATGTGAAATTCAAGAACAAATACCATATCGAACTAAGAGCACATATTTGGTGCCAGGACTTTGGAATGCCAACGTAAAATGCGCCTCATTTTACCGTGGGCATAATTTTACTTAAAATCAAAACGATTTTGCTAAACATCATACGACAGTTTTTTTTCCCTAGAAATCACTCGAATTTGCTTCCATTGGATCACGCATAATTTAATTTAACGGCTGCGATGCGTCTCCTACCATACACGCTATACAGACCGCCTAGTAGTATTTCTATCGAGCACACAACAAACACTATAAACAAATAAGGAATATGAACGGATGCAACCATATAAGTTAGTTTGGTTTGATAATTTGATGTTCTATTTTTCATGGCGACTTCGTGGTTATGTTTTTTTCTCGATCCTTTGATATATCTACAAATGTAAATTCAATTGATATGACATGTAAGTGTATTATAATATTAATAAAAATATTGGGTAAGTAAATATGTATTTATTATTTTCTTTAAAATATAAAATTACAATTCTATATAACTAAAATTGCATTTATAAATTCAGTTGATATGACATGTAAGTACACTATAATTTTGATAAAAATAATATGTAAGTAAATATATATTTTTATTTTTTTTCGTAGTTCGTTGGATGTAAATCTTAATGTAGGAAAACTCTGAGTGATTTTATCACTTGATAAATGGATAGGCAAAAAAAGAAAAAAAGGGATAAAAGGCTTTGTGGGAGGCATGGGCCGGCTGCGGACCGTGGGCCTGGAACAGGTTGCAGGCGTCAAAAGAGGCATTCTGAAAGGCCAGCAGGCCCAAGAGCCCGTTCTTTCCGATCGATCGAGGAAGCCAACAGACAGCGCCGCCGCAGTCCGCACGACGCTCGAGCAGATTGGCCTCCGGCGACCGGAGAACCGCGAGATGAAACAAGCCCTGCAAGAGAAGCGGTGCCCTGCCTGCAGGGAGCACCCCATGGTTTGTTCTTGTATCTAACTTAGTACTCCCTCCAAATATTTAGTCCCTTCATCTCTAAATATTTGACGCCGTTGACTTTTTTTAATTATGTTTGACTATTCGTCTTATTTATAAACATTTATAAAATATATAAAACTATATGTATATATAAAAGTATATTTAACAATGAATCAAATGATAGGAACATAATTAATAATTACTTAAACTTTTTTAATAAGACGAGCGGTCAAACATGTTTAAAAAAAGTAAATTTAGGGATGGAGGGATTAATTATTTTCCACATGTATGTGGCTTTTCTTTATTACAGTATATATATTTTTTTGGCAAAATTCTATGGTTTCAATGTTTATATGCTGACGTTAAATGTTGTGTATTAGTCCAACCGAGCACGAGCTGCTTGGAGTTTGCATTTTGAATGCCTGTAAACTTGGTCGAAAAACAAGTTCTAAAAGAACGAAAAAGAGTTTGCATTTTGAATGCCTGAAAAACAAAAATTGTCCGACCTGCCGGATTCGAACCAGCGACCTAAGGATTTCTCTGCATCAAACTACAGTCCTCCGCTCTACCAACTGAGCTAAGGTCGGATTTAGTGTTAGCCACACAAGTTTTATATATATACACTGCTATATTGAGTTTTGTTTTTTTTTTTTTGACATTGAGTTCTGGTTAGATATTCAGCAAAGTCATAATCGAAGCTATAGATATTGCTTGTTTTTAGAGAAAAATATCGGTTTTCTGATTCATATAAGTAGAAAATGAAATGGCTAATCCGAAGAGATTGCTCTCCGTTTCATCCTTCTCCATTGGTCCATCGGAATCCCAAGCGTGAATTGGTGAATGAACGGAGTATCTTGTAGTCATCAGAAATTACAGATTTACAAATCTACGCAAGATTTTATTCATTTCGAAACAATAGCACATATATACATCAGCTGAACTGCTGAAATATATATTCAGCAACAAGAAATAGCATAAGTAAACAATTAGTGTAAACACTTTTTCCTCAAATTGCTTTACACCTCGATGAACAAATTGTGGAATCTCACATTTCTCATCCCATCATGAAAATGCTTGCGCCTAGAAATACAAATCAACACGCAGGATTAATTAACTGAAGATATAGCTTGGAATGTTCTCACAGCCAATTGACAAGGTAGTTTGACTTGCCTCCACAAACTAGCCGTGCTTGCCCCCGACATTATATTTGCACATCTTCTTCTGTGCACAGTTGATCAGAATCTCTGCAGAGTCAATACCTGACAAAAACAAGCAAAGGCACAACGCACACTTGAGCACAAATGTTAGCATTACAAATCTCGTCGATCCCTACCCTAGGGTAGTTCTCTTTTAGAACAATAAAAATGGTTTAAATGTCCGGCCTATCTGACATATGGATACCTGCAAGATAAGCTCCATGGACATAGCCATTGTAGCGCTCGCTCGTGTGCTCACCGGTGAAGTACACTCTCCCAACCGGCGCCTTGTGCACAGAAACAGCAAAAAATACACACAACCAAAATTAATCTCAAATCCAAACCGCATCAATTTGTGAATTGTGATTAGCATTTGGTTGGAGTAGTAGTTCGTACCCTGAGCTGGTCATACTCGTAGCGACTGACGCCGATGGGCCAGTTGGAGAAGCTGCCCCGGAAGAACCTGTCGGACCACCATCTCGGGACGAGGATGTCGGTGGCGTCGGGGACATCCTCGTCAGGGAACATGCACCTCACAACCTCCATGATCTCTGCCTTGGTCTGGCTGTCCGGCTGCTGCTCGATCCGCCTCGACTCCTCGTCGGTCACCGTCACCAGGAGCACATTGGCATCCGGGTATTGCTTCTCAAACTCCTGAAGAATGTTCAGATCATCGCAATGTACTACAATTCGATGTGAGTGGATTGTATATATTGCTGCATATTTTGTACCTGCCAGACTCCGTAGTAGCCTCTCCTGGTGCTCGCGTAGAGGAAGAACTCCCTCCCTGCCCCTTCGGGCCAGAATTTCTTGGGGAACTTGACGAATATCTTGGTGTACACGGCCATGTCGAATTGGTAGATCGCAAGAATCTTCCAAGACTGATGGAAACATGCAAGAAACGTAAAGTAAATTTGACTGCTCGATATGCACATCTTAATTTATATTTGGAAGAGGATATGTTGAACATGCAAGGACATTTGGACATAGAAACTGACAGGCAGCTGTGGCTTGAACTGTATGAGATCGCTCTGCAGGACTCCCAAGCTCGCAGAAACCATGACATAGTCTGCCTGGTACGTCGAGTTGTCCTCCGTCTTCACGGTGACGCCGGTCGAGGAGTAGGAGATCTCACGCACCACCTGCATCGATCATATATACCACCATGATGATCGCGTGCTTAATCAGTTCATCTTTTCTGACAGAAAAGATCATGGCATCAGAAGTGATATGATCAACCTTGTTGAGCTTCAGGCGGGCGTCGGCGATGTTGCCGGACTTGTCGGCGTTGAGGTACTGGCCGGCGAGGTGGTGGACGACGGACTCGTAGCCACGTTGGTCGGCGACGAAGTAGGTGTCGTCTCCGAAGTCGGTGAAGGTGGGGAGGGGAACGGTGTTCTGCAGGCTGGTCACGCGCGGCGGCTCGGCGAACTCGTAGTCGTAGGTGAAGTAGTCCACCGCCATGTCCACCGGCGACGACGGGCCGTTGGGTAGGCTGCCAATTGCATGCATTTGCACGCACCCGAAACAGCAGAAAGTAAATTCACAGCTTGTAGTGCTATGTTGTACTGCTTGTCAGGCCAGTTATTCAGGCCAGCTAGCTTGTACTGGATTTTGGATTTTTCATTTGCGCGTTTTCTAAGCTTCTAAATGGATATTTTGTGTAAAGTTTTCTATATACTGTTTTGCTGAACCAACTTTTTAAATTTGTAAGTAGTAGTTAATTAATTAATTTGTGTATATACCCTCAAATAGCTATCACAAAATCAACTTGTTCATTGATCTATCAAAATTCCAACTATAAATCTTGAAGGAGGCCTTAGTGTCTTTTTGGGCCTAGTTGATAGTCCTACATCTTTCGAGGCCCAATATACGATTAGTTCAGTCCTTACACAAATTTCAAACGATTTTCTATATCTATCTATACTCTTACAGTAAGACAAATCAATTCGAATAACTTTTTGTCGCAAAAAAAATCAAATAACTTTTGAAGTGTTCTTTTATGTGCTTAACGTTTTTTTTTTCAAGTAAAGACTTGAGGGGCAGAGGCACGTACTGATCGTTGAGCCGTTGCATTGAAAGGATTGACATGTCGTCCCGGCCGCTTGGGTGCAGTGTGGCGGAGAGATTCTCCCCACTCTTGTCCACTTCATCTGCCCGATCCATTCTCTTCTGCACGTATGCTTCGTCACAGAGGCCTCCGCTGAAGTTATACAACATCAGGCAACATGCATATATGTATGGTAGCATATATATATTGGAGGAAAAAAATATACATGATACTAATTAATTAAGTTTCCATTATTTTTTTTAAAAAAATAATTAAGTTCGGTGTAGAATCTACTCATGTCACAAACATTTATCGGTTTGAACAAATATAAGTTCCTGGACCCAGGTAGAAACTTGCAGTATCCATATGCGTTAATTTGTCGAGAATTTATACGTTTGTTTTTTCCGAAAGATCAAAATTTCAATTTATATTATGTTTGTTATGTTGACATTATGTATTTGTTCCAATAAACGATGAGGGCATTACTTCATCGGATACGCACGTAACTTCACACGTTCTAATGATAATTTCAAGTCCAAGTTCAGTTCAGCCTCCGGAGATAGTACTTACTTCAAACGGACGTAGCGTCTCCATGCCAACTCCGATTTAGGTGATCCTGGACTTGATGGAAAGATTATCTCGCTATCTTTCAAACGCATCCGGTCTCATCCAAATTCATTCCGAGTCAACAAGAATCTTTAAAACAAGACATGGCTAGTCCCATCTCAAAAGTGTCTCCCTCCACCTCCATGAATTAGCACTTAACTCTAGATCCATTTTCCTCTATAAATGTATATGTATACCCTCTAGAACAATTGTGTTTTGGTTTAGTTGGATTTTGCCAAGTGCCATTCACCTTGTCTATAGTCCTCGCTCGATTAATTAGTCGGCGACAATAGATTCAGAGCCCCTAATAGTTGGTGTGTTGATTTATCGGATCGATTAGATATATCACTTTAATCACAACTATTAATTTGTGCTTAATTACCTATTCGCAATATTTAGATTGCATCTTATATCTTGTTCTTGCAATGTTCTCTCGTTTGCATTGTAAAGATCATCAACCGTGTGTCACGGTTGGTATGACATTGTTTGTGGTGTAGCGATTGCACAACGTCATGTCCTTGTTCTGGTTGGTAGCCATATCGCAAATGTCGCACTCGATCAAACCGAGAGTTATCCCCTCACCAGAAGATTGGACCACGAAAGAGAACGTCATCCATAAAATTGAATCCCCACTAAATATTTTTAATGCCAATTTTCTCTTCTGATGAGAAGTAACGTTACCATAACTATTTCTAACCTTTCGATCACTTATGCATGGTGCAAATTGTCCATCTTTTCTCATAAAGCCATGTGCACATGTAAACATTACCTATGGCCAATTTGATACAACTTGTATGCTATTGCGATTGGTTTCCCATAAGCATGATGGGGCCGGGCACTGTTATCTTGTTGGCCACTTGCCTACGAACGTACAACTGTGAGGTGGCATTCAGCGTGAAATAAATAGAAGGTTGATCATTAGAACAATCTTAACCCAAAAACTATTACTAGTTTTCATATATACCATGTTATATCGACAATGTACGCAGAAACTATATACCCAATATAGACGATTTATTTAAAATAAACTCTCATCAAATCATCTCCCTTCTCTTTCTTTTTATCCTTATTTTTGTTCCTTTAAAGCTAGTGTCTTGTATAAGAAATAATAGTTTCTTCATATTTTTCCCTTTGAGTGTTGGGATTGCCCTTAAGTGGTTTAGAAGGTTTAGTATTTATCTACTCCCTTCGTCCTAATTTTTTTTTATTTCTAGCTACTAATTTTAAGACCTTATTCTGAAGTGCTAATTCAACTTAGCTATTTCTCATTTTCCGTTAGTATGTTTTTAAATTGCTAAACGATGTCTTACCTACAAAATTTCTTTTATATACAAGCTATTAAAAATCAAAAAGTTTTTAATAATTAATACAATTAATTATATGCTAATCACATTTCTCATGTGCGGCTAATTAGCCGTTTGATGTATCTGCTTAGAACGGGTTCTAAGACAAAGGTAGTATTTATAAGTTTACCCTCTCATGTTTACCTATCTATCTTCCAATGAGAACCCATACTATCTATAGTTTACTACTAAGGAACTCCTCGCACAAAAGAAATAAAAAAACTCAAGAAATGGGGAACTGATAGCTAGTGGCCGGGAAAGAGAAAAAGTTTGACCAACAATACCTAGTTTTCTTCCAAGTACTATTCCATGTTTACACGGTAGATAGTTTCAAGGTAAAACCAAAAGTTGGGAGAAAAGTCACTTATATATATCTCTTGATCTATATTTGAATGTTTTGTGCTTGAACATTGTGTATGAATGTTTTAATTACCTGAAAATTGTGTGAAATTTCTCCAATATTTATATGAATGTTTTAATCTAAAAAAAAGCTTTGCATTTTGAAATTTTTGATCTCTTGTTGAAATTTCATCAACTTTTTCAAATTAAGTATAATTATTCCATTTCGTGGGCCGCACAAAGTATCCAATTATTAGTTACTCTTGTTGATAAGTGAATGGTGCATGAATACTAAATGATACAGTTCTGAGTGCTGTGCTGTGCATGCAATAATTAACCAACAGTGGTGACGGTTTGGAATTGACAACTGATGATGAGTGTGTTAATTATTGTACTATGATTCGCACACATCAACATATGCAATTAAAACATGTCATTAGAGAAATATGTCTGATTAATCACGTGTCAAGTTGTTAGCTGCTCCAATTTATCCACCAACTTGTGGTTGTGTGAAAATGTACGTACTCCTTGTAGACGTTCTGGGCAAGGCTGTCAAAGTCGGAGCGGAAGCTTCTGAGCTTGAGGGTGGAGTTGACGATGGGCCAAATGGGGTTCTTCTTTTCGCCATTGACGCCCTCCACCCAGTTGGCACCGATCTCCACATTGACGCCGGCGAAACTCTGCTTGTGCATCCGCCCGCCAATGCGGTCTGTCGCCTCTAAGATCAATACGTCTGCTATCCCAGCCTCCCATATCCGCTTCCCCGCTGAGATACCTGCACAGCAATATAGATGTAAATCAATGTACATGCGGTTCTCAGCTTGTGGAGACCGAGATTTTAACTCATGATATGTACTACTCCTATATATGGTATCTACCACCGGACCAATTTATCTCTAATGTGTGAACCATAATTTGTACTATGGGTCCGTATAAACTAACATGTAACATACATCATAATTAAAAACATAGCATTGTGGCTAACATAGTAATAATATTGGAGTTACTACTGTAGAATCCCTAATAGATATCAGCTCATAAGTGTTGGTTCGTTTAAAACCAACACCTATGCACCTTTAAGCAGCTATAGGAAAAGCTGGCATTAATTCTATAAGTACCGATTTTGAAAAAACGAATGACACATATAATATATCATAGGCGTTAATTAATTAAAAAGCTGACAAGTATAATGTCCACTCCCCCCTCCCCTTCCTCCCTCCAACGATTTGGTCCGGTGGTGTCTAAGGTGTGGTCGTGTCATTGTGTGTGCACATGCGTGCTCATGCACAGGGGGACTCCTCGTTCAACGCTCGGAACCCTGGTGGATGAGCACCTATTGAAGTTCCACAGGGACTGCACGCCCGGGGCCCACCGCCTATCTTTCCCCGCTGTCGACGAGTTGCTAGGACACTTCAAGCACTTCTACAAGGAGCTTTGTCGCCCTTTGCTACCAGGTCGGTGATCCCTTGCGCCTCCACAACCCTTTTTTCCAAAGATTATAGGTGTCGGGTCTGTCTATAGAATTGACACCTATAATCTCTATAAGTGTTGATTTTATAACTGGCACCTATGCGAACGGGCAAAGGCGCCTCCAAATTAATGCTGGTTGGGAATCCGACACCTACGAGGGATTTTCATCCGGCAACTGTTATACTCTCTCTGTCGTAAAATAAGACAACCTAGAATGCGACATATCCTAATACAACAAATCTTAATATATAGGATACAATAAATCTGAACATATAGGATGCGTTATACCCTACTACGAGGTTGGTTTATTTTTGGATGGAGGGAGTAGGGAATACTACGAGTGATGGTAGATACCACTGTAAAAGTAACTAGCATGGTGGCCCGCGCAGATTGCGCGGCTAGCATCATTATATTTTCTCTCATATAATAGCATATATGTTTTCTCATTATATTATTAAAATATATTACAATGACAACATAATTTTAAATTTTACAATAACTTTACGAAACTACTAATGTGTAATATTCATATTGTATTTTATATACATGTTAGTTATTAATTATTTTTGATATCAAATTTTAGTTATTTATAAATTATATATATTCCTATATGGACTCTAGACTCGTCTTTTAATATTTATTTTTTTAATTCTGAATTTTTATTATTTCTAATTGTATTTCTATGTGGACTCTAAACTCATCTTTCAATATTCTTTAATTTTTAATTTCAAATTTCAGTTACTTCTAAATTGTATTCCTATATTGACTTTAAAATCTTCTTCCCATGTTTTTCTTAATTTCGAATTTTAGTTATTTGTAAATTGTATTTTTATACGGACTCTAAACTCTACTTTTAATTTTATCATGTTTATTCCGAATTTTAGTTAGTTTCAAATTCCTATATGGACTCTATAATCTACTTCTAATATTCCTTATTTTTTAATTCCAATTTTCTTTTTTTTCTTAATTGTATTTCTATATGGACTCTATACTCTACTTCTAATATTCCTTATTTTTAATTCCGAATTTCTATTATTTACTAATTGTATTTATATATGAACTCTATACTCTACTTCTAATATTCCTTATTTTTAATTCTAAATTTCTGTTATTTCCTAATTATATTTCTATATGGACTCTAGTCTCCTCTTCTAATATTAATTATTTTTTAATTCCGAATTTCAACTATTTCTAAATTGTATTTATATATGGAGTCTAGTCTCCTCTTCTAATGTTCCTTATTTTTTAATTCCGAATTTCAGCTATTTCTAAATTGTATTTCTATATAGACTCTGCTTTTTTCTTTTTCTCCAATTAATGTGACAATTTCTAGATCATGAGAGCGAACATGGAGGCTCCTTTTTATTCTGAATTTTAGTTAGTTTTAAATTCCTATGGACTCTATATTCTACTTCTAATATTCCTTTTTTTTAATTCCGAATTTCTATTTTTTTTAATTGTATTTCTATATGGACTCTATACTCTACTTCTAATATTCCCCATTTTTAATTCCGAATTTCTATTATTTCCTAATTGTATTTCTATATGGACTCTATACTCTACTTCTAATATTCCTTATTTTTTAATTTCGAATTTCAGTTATTTCCTAATTGTATTTCTATATGGACTATAGTCTCCTCTTTTAATATTCCTTATTTTTTAATTCCGAATTTCAGCTATTTCCTAATTGTATTTCTATATGGACTCTAGTCTCCTCTTCTAATAATCCTTATTTTTAATTTCGAATTTTAGCTATTTTCTAATTGTATTTCTATAAGTACTCTATACTCTATTTCTAATATTCCTTATTTTTAATTCCGACTTTCAGTTATTTCCTAATTGTATTTCTATATGGAGTCTAGTCTCCTCTTCTAATATTCCTTATTTTTTAATTCCGAATTTCAACTATTTCTAAATTGTATTTCTATATGGACTCTAGTCTCCTCTTCTAATATTCCTTATTTTTTAATTCCGAATTTCAGCTATTTCTAAATGTATTTCTATATGGACTCTGCCTTTTCTTTTTCTCCGATTAATGTAAAAATTTTTAGGCCATCAGAGCGAACGTGAAGGCTCTTTTTTCTAGTGCTATAATAATATAATAGATAGATTGTACGTACCGGATATGCCAGCGCCAACAATGATGACCCTTGGCCGGCCGGTGCCAGCGACGAGGGACGGAAGAAGCTGTGCTATGGATAGCGCTAAGACAAGAAAAATGGCCATCGTCGTGGGCTTCGTCATACTGTCTTTCAAGTACTCTCGATCTCCCTTCTTGGCACGAGAATGAACTTGTACCTACATATATATATAGTTTCCGAAAGAGGTTGTTGTGTGTACATTGTATTGTTAATTTGGAGGAAAATAAACGTGACACATATATAGATCGAGTCGTACACGCATGTTTTAAGGTTGTAAGACGAACAAATTGACCGACCAGCGAAACAAATTGATCGTCGCCTTCCATTTCAACGCGTAGCCATTGAGAATTCGTATTTGCTATAATTGTGTCGACAAATTTTTTAGTTGATTACAATTAGTTCTCTGGCCGTTGGATCTGTGTTTAAGATCCGTGCTTCCATACTTTTTCCTTGCCAAGAGACCTGAAAGCATGCTAGCTAACCTCTAAAGTCATGCAAATCCGAGTGAAACGGCTCCTAATTAATTTCGTGTTATATGCATGCATGCATGCTATTCCTTAATACAAATTTACACCCCACTTACATCCCACTTACACACCATTTACACATGTAAAAACTATATAATTTTGAGACTTACATATGTAATTTTGAAACTTATATTATAAATACACTAAATTTACATATGTAATTTAGAGACTTACAATATAAATACGTGTTGCCTATTTTTTAAGTAAAAAATACGGCGCTATAAATATAACTACACCGGACCCTTGAGAATTTTATGCGTACAGGTCAAATGTTTTCCTTTCCGAATTTCCGATCTAAGGTTTAACTTCAGTGTCATAAACAAACGGTAACGGTGCACCTGGAAGTCATATATATGCATATACATGTCACGTCATATATGGAAACAACTAATTAATATTTCCTCTCTAGCTTAAACTATGACATTGTTATCTTGTAGACATGTGTTCGATAATTAAATCATTTGACTTATAAAAAAGAGTAAATTGCATAGTGGAACATCTCTTTTTACACCATTGTATAATTTGGAATAGGGTATGTTAAACTACCCTCCTCAATTTGAGCGAGATTTGTTTGCTAAACAGTACACTAAAAATGGTTTTGTAGACAATCCCTTTAATTTTTTCTCCAAACAGGCTAAAAACACCCGTATGTTAAAAGATTTTGAGCTAACAAATAAATACATATATGCAAACTTGTTAAGAGGCACGCTTAGCAACAGGACGGCCACCTAGTCTTCTCCCTCTTATTTTCTCTCCTCCCTTAAAAAATTCTATGTCCTCCTTTACTTCCCCTCTCCTCTCGAGACATCTCCTCCCTCATCCTCTCCTCTCTTCCTCACCGTGTCCTCCACCAACCGACGATGGGAGCAGTGACGACAGTTGCGACGGGAGTGCCTGCAACTAAAGGAGGGGTGGCGACGAGAGCAGCAGAGCAAACTTGAGCTGGCGCCAGCGGCCCCGCGGCAGGTGCATCCATACTGCTGGGAGGGGCCGATTCGGAGGCAGTGCCTCCGTAGTGCGCAGATTTTGACGCCGGCCCTTCGAGGGGCGAAGGTGGTTGGCTACTGGCGATGGCAGCTTCATGTATAGTGGGCTCTGGGCTTCGGGCTCGCCTCGGGAGCTACAGGGACGACGGCATCGGGGGAGCGGCAGATCAGCCGCCGCCGGAGCTATGGTTCGGAACTAAGGATTCATGATTTTAGAATTTTTATTGTTTTACCTTTTTTTAGGCAGCGCCATAACTAACCACCCGTGAAAATCAGTTTTTGCGTGCGGTTGTCCATGCAATTGCACTGTAGTAGTGCAATGTTTCACCTTGAGCACGTTTCTCTTTTCTATCCACTCGTTCTTCAACCATACAAATCTGAGTTTGCGGTTGTGGCCATGAGCAAGGCAAAACGAGCTTAAGTTGTTCCTATCCACACTCATTGGTGCAACACCCTATAGGTGTCGGTTGGGAACCCACATATGTGCTAGTTTCGGCAAAACCAATGAGGAGAAATCATATAGGTGCCAATTTAGGAACCCATACCTATGAGGTTCCATGGAACCAAAGAAATTGTAGCGACCCATATCCAAGAACACATTGATTAACATCACATTCATCAACACCATATGCCACCATCCATCCAACAACAACATGGAGACCCTAAGATTGAAAGGTTTCCATGAACATCGAAGAAAAAAATTGAATCAAGCATGCACAAGTCAGTAGACAAGAACACATATCTGGAAGGAAGAATACTACACCATCACCGCTGTTGCTCCCCATGGGATAATATGGAGTCAAGAATCTTCCCGCCGATGTGTTGACCGCCATCAATCCCCCCTCCCCCCAAAGTCCCCACACAAATATGGTTGCCTTGTGGATGGAGAAGAGAATAGGATGAGGGCGGATGGATCAAGAAGGGAAGCGAATTTGCACGCGTGCGTGCACAGGGGGGTGGGGGGCATTTAAGCAGGCACTTAAAAACCAACCTGGCTAGCTAGAGTTATTTTCTTCGGTGCTGTCGGTTCGGCTCAATCCATAGGTGGCACTGATGTATCATATATGAATGTCGGTTTTTAAAAAGCCTTGTTTGCATGAAAAATCCCTCGTAGGTGTTGGTTTAAAGTGAATCGATATCTATGAGAGCGTCACGAATGTGACGTTTTGTACTACTGACTATGTTATGCGTTGGTTCCTTGCCGATAGCAAAAATGAGAAAGTGGAGAAGAGTTCACCATGCACTTTTTGCTTGCTGGTGGGGAAGAACAAGAGGACATCCCTTCCTAAGCTCGAGCTCCAACACTTTCGACGCCTAAGGATCGAGTTCTAGTTCCTCCACTGTGACTCTCTCTCTCTCAGTCCTCTCTCTCTCTCTCGGCGGTGGTGGCTGCCGGATGCGTGACGGTGATGGCGGAGGAGGTCAGCGACAACAACGGTAGAGGGGTCTCTCTGCCTCCCTCGTGGATCTGCGGTTGGCTGGCCTCAAGAGGGGCGAATCCTACAGCGGTGGTGCTAGGGGAGGCGGATCCAGTGGTGGTGGGTGGGAGGCTTGGCGGCGGTGGACGAGGTCAGCAATGGTGATAGCGGAGAGGCCTCGTTGCCTTCCTCATGGATCCGCAGCTGGCTGTTCTCGAGAGGGGCGGATCCGGCGGCGGCGGTGCTAGCGGAGGCAGATCCGACGGTGGTGGGTGGGAGGCGTGGCGGCGGAGGATCCGGCCTCTACTGCGTGGCAACGGTGACGTGAGGGATGGACCCGATGTCCATTTCCTCTCCCACGCGGATCCCACCACCCCTATGCCCGACGAGGAGGTGGAGGATGAGGACAAGGACGGCGGAGATGACGAGGACAGCGGCAGTGGCTTCAAGCAACGATGGTGACAACAAGGATGGTGGCGGCGGCTTCTAGGGTTAGGGTTTCGTGATTTTTGGTTCTTTTTTTTTATTTTTGCGTGAGGACAAAATAAGCACCTGCACGCGAACCTCTGATTTTCGCGTGCGGGTGCGCCCACCCGCACACAAAAATAGCGATTTTCGCATATCATTTGGTGTGTGCAGCTAGCCCTACCATACGCGAAAACCCCTTTCGGGCCGTCTGTAAAAACCCTTTCAGTACTAGTGTCTGTTCTCGTTTGAAGAGGTACTTGCTTGAGTAAAAGGAAAGAGACCGAGCGCAAAGAATATATATGGATTATCAAGGAAGTTTATTGGGGACCAACCCAAGACCTTCCCAAAGTCTACTCCAACATTACCACACCACTTTTGGTCTGTAAAAGGCAAAAGATGAAATTGTACACGTTTCGGATTCGGATTCAGGTCTCCTTATAGCATAAGCTTCAAATGAAGCTAGACTCTAGTCTAGAAGGAATCTTAGGTCACATGAGTACTTGTTGGAAAGTTTATGGAGGCAACTTTCATATGGTTTTGGTCTCACATCAAAATTCCTCCTTAGCAGTTAGGAATCTGCAAAACAAGTCACATACCTCACATAGTCTGATTCTGATTTGAGCTTTGGGCCTTGTATTGTATCGTGCGCTAAGACCAAGGGGGTGGTGCCGGGTAACCCTAGGATGTCCCTAATCATATTTATTCAGTAGCCGCCATAGTTTAGACTCGAGTTTTGCTTACATTATTTTTGCCATTACAGTTGCGTCACTGGTTCGGTTTGTGGAACCCTATTCGAGTGCTTAGTCATTCATCTACAAATTGAGTTGCAATCTACGTTGCTCTTACTTGTTTTCTTCCATTCGCACACAAGGATTAGCCTTCGGTGAGGTTAATCAGGTTGATAACTAGAGAAAACGTGGTGCTGCAATTGCAGGGTTCGGGTCGTGTTGATTGGAAGCCAGATCGTGTGTGTGTCAAGTTTCCAGCAAATCGGGAGTAATCATTACCTATCCAGTATTTTTAATGTACGATGAAATTGACGGCCATTCGCTTTATTGAAAAATTATATTAAAAATAAAAAACAAGTCATATTTAAAGTGCCTTTAATAAAAATACAAATTATAACAAAAAGAAAATCAAAAAATGAATTACACTTTGAACTAATCTTTATCATCAAATTAAATTTCAAGTTGGACCATCTACTTTCACTTTAGGCCGCCATATTTTGTTACCAAAGCATACATTGGACTGGTGGCCCACATTGCCACATGTAAGTGAGCAAGAGCTATAGCATCATTTTCCCCACCGCATGTTGCATGTCACTCAGCCTTGTTTGTCCCCACGTCAATCCCCTCCTCTCACCTTGACGAAGAAATATCCTCTTCTTCCCCACTCCACCAAACGACGAGAGGTTGAGCACTGGATTTGGGGACACTACTACAGAACCCTTAAATGGTGCCGGTTGGGAAACCCCCTTAGGTGTCGGTTTTCCCAACCGACACCACGAGAGTGGCACAGATCACAGAAGCCTAAAGGTGCCGGTTTCAAAACGAGCCAAAACAAATCGGCTTGATGCATCGTGCTGTCAAGCCGATCCCAAAAAAACCCTAAATCCATGAATACATCTAGATCAAACAAATCACAAATCATCACATCAACCAATATCAACAAATCATCACATCAACAAATATGAACAAATCATCACATCAAAATATCAACAAATCAAAAATCAAAAATCAGCCACTG